GAAAAATATCATTGAAGTTTATTTTTCTCTCATTTGAAATTGCTATATATGTTATTCAATCAACATGAGAAAGTAACAAATTCTACTTTCAAAATACAATTCCGCAACTCTCCAATTTATGATACAATTGCATAGGTATCTAGCTACATATACATTTGCACCAACATGTTTTCCTCATTTTGTCATATCACAATTGCATCTATGCACATTAATTAGTGCAAAATTAAACTGCAAACTCTTTATGAGGGAGTAAAAAGACACGCTGATATTGTGCCGTCAAACACCGCTGCTCTGACGTCTAAAGACATAGCCCCCCCCCCCCCTTAAGATAAAATCTTATATTTGAGCCCCAAAAAGTGAGAAAAAATTCGGAAATTCTTTGGATTGAATCCAAATCGCCCACTAGAAAATTCAACATGCTAACCATTACACTATCAAACACCGTCTCTTAAAATTGAAAAATGATAAATATTCAGAGTATGGGTTAATCAATTTTTAAACAAACTACATATTTAGCATTCTTGTAAAACTCTTTATTAAGCCTATCAACATCATAAAAAAATAATCAAAAACAAAAAAGTTCAAAAAATTACCCTTTTTAAATCACTTCCTGTGACGACCGGAAGTTACGACGACACACGAAATGTTTCCATCACACATCTACAAACCAAATTCTATCATACCTGAAAGTTTCAGACTCCTACCTTTAACAGTTTCTGAGAACATTCATGGACTAGATTTTTAGTGTAAAAAGTGAAAAATCGTAATAATTCCCGACCGGAAGTAAATTTTTCCAAACTTTTTCAATATTTCAAAATGGCATGAGAGAACAAATCATTCCTGAAAATTTGGCTGAAAATGAATGAGTAGTTTTTGAGATATCGCGATTTGAAAAGGTCAGAAAAATAAAAATGAAAAATAATAATAATAATAATAAGAAGAAACAGTAGAATCACTATAGGTCTTCCGTTGAAAACGGAAGACCTAATAATAATAATAATAAGAAACAGTAGAATCACTATAGGTCTTCCGTTGAAAACGGAAGACCTAATAATAATAATAAGAAACAGAGTAAAAACAATATGTTCCCAAACTCCGTTTGGGGAACATAATAATAAGAAACAGAGTAAAAACAATATGTTCCCAAACTTCGTTTGGGGAACATAATTATTAAATTTTGTACAACACTTTGTTGCTTTGCAGTGTAATGTATTTCTCATGAAAGAGGGAGGACATATATAGGTTCAACATGTATAAAACATCATACAACATTATAACAAAGTTTTAAGTTACCCATCTAAAATTCCAAATTGACATTGAAACTTACAAAAAAATTATCGGTAAAAAGATATATTAATATGCAAGCATCCTCGGGTAGTGCAAATTCAAGTTTGTTCAAATCATACACAGCTAGTAGTCCAGAGAGATAGGATGGATCACATTAGAGTTTTATATGGAAATGTATAGGATATTGAAATAAATCTTTTCAGGAGAAGTTTTTTATACGATCTATCCGTTATATCTGTATGTGTACCTAAAACTCTCTCTATATCTATACAAAGTGAAAAATGTAGAAATGTCTGGTAAAAATCAATTTTAATTGATGAAAAGGGTAAAGATAACTAACAGTGATCGATCTAAAAAAAAAAAAAAAAAGAACAATAAATGATTGTGAACAGGGAAAAATCACGGACCCTTGAACCACTGGGCAAATTTCAACCAAATTGCAACAGAGTGTTCTTTAGTTAAGGGAATTAAAGTTTGTCCAAATGAAGGGCCAAGCTTTCTTCCAATGGGAGATAATTACGAATTTAGTGAAAAATTATTGACATCTTTTAAAAATCTTCTTCCGAAGAGCCAATGGGTCAGAAAATATTAATCTTATAAGGAAAAATTCACAGATAGTGTAGATTCAAGTTTGTTAAAAATGAAAAGTAGGGGAGATTAAAGTATGTTCGAATCATAACCCCCAAGGGAAGAGTGGGGCTACAATAGGCGAGCAAAGACTAACATAGGAATACACAGGATTTTCTTTCAATTTTCTTTTCAAGAACAGTATAGTCATGATTAGTCATTTATTTGGAAGCATTCTCAGGTAGTGTAGATTCAAGTTTGTTCAAATCATGACCGGACGGGGGAGGGGGTAGTGATGATAAAAACTGTGCCATGTTTTGACACTTCGATAATTATCAAAACAATTCGCTTACATTTCAAACTGCTTCAGGACAATTTTTTAGCCGGAGCAATCAATAACTGAATAAGCAGATCTAACTGTTAAACAATTTCACAGGCACCTGACGCGTGGATAGTGTGAAATTACCCCCCCCCCCCCCTCCAATTTATTTCATAATAAGCTTTAAAAAATATCGGCTGGTCATTTTTTAATGCTAACTAAAATTAAAACTGATTACATGTACAGACCGATTTAATATATGAATTCGTTTGACGTGAAAATCATACATTTTGGAGAATCAGGAGGTTTCTAAATTTATTTCATATATCATGCTATCCATGCGCAACGTTGCATTAATTTTGACGTTACTTTTTAAATAGATTTAAGTAAAAGGGTTATTCAGTTATAAATACGCCATGTTCCAGTGAAATTTGAAATAAAATTTTATTTTCAGAAAATGTTCGACTATCGTTCAATAACGCAATCGATTAATTGACTAAGGAAAATAAATATTTTGACATCCCTACTTATAATGTATTAAAATTGTTTATCCCTGGTACTTCGATATAAGCATGTTTTACTATAGATAGAGAATTTTAAAAACAGCAAAGCCATGATTAGTCATTTTAATTCAGAAGCATCCTTAGTGCAAATTTTAAGTTTGCCCAAAGCAAATGTCCCCGGGCTTAGGGTGAGGACCAGATAGAAGATCAAATGTATAGGGAATGTAAATAATTTTTTTTACATAACAGTATGTAAATAATTTGTATACAATTAGGGGGTTATCATCTTTTTTTATGATACTGATGAATAATACTTGATTATGAATCTTTATTTTCCATTATTAGCAAGTTCATTACCATGTTCAAGTATTATTATTCAATGTCTATGTCTTGACCTATTATACAAGGAGAGGGTGTGCATAGGCCTTGCCTGTTGCCCAATCCTTATTGAATTACTCAATAAAATATGTTTAAATTAAATGTATAGGGAAAATCTTGTAAAGCTATGATTAGGATTTTTTCATGAGTATATTTTGACAAGTCAAAATAATCTTTGTGTTTAAAACAGTACATAAGAATGAGCAGTTCTCTTTTCATTCTTTTGAAATAAAATGCTTTAATAAACAACACAAAAAAGACCAAAACCACTGCATTTATTGTTTTAACACTATTGAACCATAATTGAATTTTTTTATTTTTTGCTTCGTTAAGCGCCAACTCTTAAAAAGAACTTTTAGCCAGTTGTGAAGCTAAGAGAACTAACAAGAGATTTCGGAAAATGGGAGAAAAAGAAACAAAGTCCGGACATTAAGTTATTCAGTGTAATCAAGCGATGAGATTGAATAAATTATTATTTATATATGAGCAGAACATTTAGCAAATATGCGATCCCTCATTAAAATATGTGAATATAGATACTTCACACAGCTACACTGAATAATTTTCATCATCAAATAAAGGACACAAGCAGTTGTCGCTGAAGTAAATATTAGTCATTCTGCATACAGAGTCATAACAAAAAAAATGTCAAATGGTTTCAATAACAAATAATTTTTTTATTTGCTTAATTGACATTTACACAACCTGCTACTTGTATTCTCAGTGAAAGATATCAAATATATATTAAAGATAGTGCAAGCCATGCAGTATGGTTATATTTTGTGCAAAGCTAAAAATTGCAGATTTTATCTAATGTACCAGAATAAAAGTTAATTTGGCTTATCTCTCTGTACTAAAAAAAACTTTTACACAATCTACAATTACAAAACACCTTAATTCGATTTTAAATTTAAAAAAATACGAAAAATTTCAAAAAGTTCTTTTTAGAAATGTATTAGTAATCACGACTATTCTCTCATTTCATTTTTATCAAGTATAATTTATTTTTCATTAATTTATTTTATAATTTATTAATAATTAAGATTCTCCTTAATTGCTTATAGATCTTTCTCATGCTAGAAAGTGTTCACTTATATGCACCAATGGCAGTGTGACGTACACAAATTATCCTCGCTTCCACTTCGCATCAGATTTTTGGATGAACTTTTATTTTAGTTTCATGTTTCGACAAATTTGAGCATTATAGACTGGGTTTAAACAGTTTACGTAATTATATTTTTTCCCAGTTAAATCAATGGGTATTGTGTGTTCTTTACATGTATCTTAATCTGGTCTAGTTTCAATGATTAATACTTTCTTCCATCTTTCTAGTCAGTCATATCTTTCTCTTTTGCTTCTGGTACAGCTACTTTTCCTTCTCAAACCAGAGAAGATCAACAATACCAGTTTTTGTCGAACGTTGTTCAAGTGTTTTTCATCAGGAGAAAAGCATGCAGAAGTGTTCTGCAGTATACATGTATAACAATGATAACGATTTCTTTTTTTATAGTTTCATGATATTTTATGTCTTTACATCTTTTAAGGTTAAGCAAATATTAAGACGAAAATGTCCATCGCAATCAACTATTTTTAGTTCCTTAGAAATCTTGGACAAAACTATATGATTCTTTCAAAGGATACGCATTTGTTCATACTGAAAAGAAATGTTTTTGCATATCTTTTTTTTTTGTCTCTTTGGTTTTTAGAAAATTGGACACAGTATTTAGTGGTTCAATAACACGGGAATAATTTAATTTTTGCTAACATGAGTGAATTGTTTCAATATTGTTTATAATATTTTTAGCATGAGAGGTTGACTCATCATTTATCGACGACGGTGAAAGTAATTTGACACTTTACAAATATATACATATTGAATGAAGACCAGGTACTCTTGTGAAATATTGAGTAGGATCATAGCCAGCGCCCCTATTAAAAGAAGAACGATGCAGGCCCATCTCATCAAAATGAAGACCTGGCTTCTGTTGGCGTGTATCGTGATTTTATTACACGGTAAGATTTTTTATGCCTGAAAGAAATTCATACTGGGAAAATTTCAATAAAATTTTTTCGTTTGCATATTATTCTCAATTTTCATTTATTTTTCGGTAATAATATCACTATTGTAAATAAAATTTGATTCAGTTCTTATTTTATTTTTAATTTTATAGCTAGATTAAACTACAAAATCTGGAATATGCTGTTTGTTTGATACCAAATAAAACCTGATGTAATTTCTCTCGCCTTTTTTTCAGATGGAACCGCTTGGTGTAAGTGTTTCGAGTATGAGATACACTATATTCAAGAATTTTTATATATAATACTTAGAATTTCCCTAAAAAAAAGTAATATATGATATATACTGGTTTATGCTATAATGTTAGTTTAAGATTATTGAACCCTGTAAACTGTACTCATTATCTTGAAATTATTGCGGTGCAAGAGAGTTTGAAAAGGATTTAGCTTTTAACATTGAACAATCACACAATTCATCATTTCCTTCAGTATGGCACTGGAAAGGGATGAGGACCACAAACTCAGTTTGTCAGAACCATAAAATGAACCTGAAATGTTGGCATGGTACCGTCATTAAGATACACTATGCTAACTACGGTCGCACAGACTATTACACTTGTCCACGTGGACACCTGTTGACAGACGATTGTGTAAATAAGAGAACAAAGAAAATCGCCAAACGTCTCTGCAATGGAAAGAGGCGCTGCAAACTGAAGGCCAGCTCAAGAATGTTTGGTAATTCCTGTCGGGGAACAACTAAATACCTAGAAGTAACCTTTTCTTGTGTCGGTAGGTGTATGTACTGAAATGTAAACTATACGTATAATGTTGAAAGCCATGATAAAATCAATGGCGTTAAGAATTCAGTGTTGAATAAAACGATTTTCCGTAAAAGTGCAATAATTACTTGTATTCATACATGAATTATATAGGTTATGAATCATATAAATATCTATGCTCAATTTAAATTAATCACCGAGAGGAAGCTACTTTTTCTCTCATCATTTTCGTTTTTTCTTACCTTTATCGATGTATAAATAAAACAAAGAAGAGTGGTATTAGGTTATATACATGTACGTTGATTTTTCATGTATTTGCAACCTTTGTTTCATTCTTTAAGATCCTGACGATGACAAACGAAACGTGGAAGTCAACAATTAGAAAGGAAATGGCGAACAGGCGTGAATATAATGTAAATTCACTGACAATAAAGTCGTGAAATTGTATTAGTTTGGCAAATGAAATAACGTGACTTAAAGTTCAAAATTTATTGTAAGTCCAAATATTATTAACTTCACAAAAAGATTTTAGAAAACAAACTGAATTTTCACAAAGAATTTCGTAGATTGACTCGCACTCAAATTCACACACATTGAATCTCTGACAACTCCGCCCACGTCCGTACTGTCCACTGACCAGCCAAGTAAATCAAGGATACGAAAGTTGCATGAACAGGGGAAAAGCCATGAGATTAATTTACAAGACTGAAGTTAACGATAGCTAAACATAACAAATTCAAAGAATTCAATTCAAAGATCTAACCACCAAGTTCATAACATTTATTGAGTAAATGGCATTGATATCGTCAGACATGAGATAGGGAGATGTCAGGGATTAGAAATTACCAACATGTGTACAAAAATGCCCTTTCTTAATTTCAAATGAAATAATTAAACTTCAATTACAGATTTCAAATAGAACCGAAACTTATTACAACAAATATACTGAGTTAGATTACTAATTTAAAATAATTTGTCATTTTTATAAACCCTCAATATACATAATCATAACAGAATAATAGAATTATCTCATCACTACTGAAGCTGATTTCATAGAAGATATGGTTTTATACCTATAACCTATATTAATGCGATACTCACATATCTGTACTTCTTACTGTGAATTAAAAAGAATACCAGCTCTATGCAACCAGAAAATGCCATCTAAACAAGATCAAATCTTAAAAATGAATTGTCCATGGTTTCTTAGTGCACCATTACTACAATTTCAAAGAAATATGCTAGGGAACAAAACGGCTTTTGATTACAAGAAAACCAAGAAATTGAATGTTATGAAGTGAAAAGGAGATGGGCGAACAAGGTGAGCGCAATGCCTATAGTGCAACAAACATGAAGGTGAAAAATTAAATCTCAATTATAACAACATTTTCTTTGATATTTCATCTAAAGTTAAAGTATACTTTATGTAAAATCTCCACAATTTGCAAAAATCTCACTAAGATTGAAATTATTTGCCTATGAAATAGCATACACACACTAGAGAGAGCAAAAAGAATCATTTTCTCATACTAAAACACAAATTTTCGATATGAGTGGGTCTTCGCTCCATATTTATCAAACTTTATCCTCAAAGTTTGCCAAAAAATAAACATTTTTGGTAAACAAAAAAAAAAAAAAAAAAAATAATAATAATAATAAAATAAAAACAAAACAGAACAAAAAAAAAAGCAAAGACCCACTATACCTTAAAAATACACTTGTGTGACACAAAATTCGCATATTTCTGAGAAATACTTGAAGTCCATTTAGTTAAGGGTCATATCACAAACATGATTTAAATGCCACTATTTATAAAGAGCTGTTTAGCATAGTGGTTAGCGTGTTAGTCTCAAAGGAAGATGGAACTCAGGACATTTATTGCTAGGTTCGAACCCCACGAATACCATATTTTTAAATAATAGAATAATTTTTGCCCATAAAATTTTTCTTATAGAAGTTTTGTTTTTCATAATTTCATAAATTTCAAAAATGAGAACTTTACTCTAAATACTAAATTCACAGATTGATTATGATTTTTATATATCTGAAGCTAAAGGCATTCTGCGCGCCTTGTTCACCCATCTCTTTGCAGAAAATGCATTTATTTTACTGTTTAAAAAGAAAATAAAAAAGACCATAGTTTGATAATGAAAAATTATTCCTACAGAAATTCTTTACTGGAGTGTGCCAGTGAACTTTCAAAGAAGTGGAAACAGTTAACATGTATATGAACTTACACCTCTGTATGCATTGATAAATCCTTATTGAAACTTCAAATCACACCTATCCAGTGGGAGGTCTTATTTGGATTTGGGCGTGCTTAATTTGTGTGTCTATCCAAAAATTCAAGGTCATATATGAAAGGTCAAGGTCATTGGGTATTGAAACAGTGTACACAGTTCCATAGTTTTTCTTCTACAATTTCGAAATATTATAATCTTTTAAAAGGTGAATAACGTCAATAATGAGTGAAAAAACTACTTTTGGGAAATCCCAAGTTGAGACCACCCTCTGAAGAAAACGGATTAATGATAGATCCCACGCTTAAATTTTCCGGGAAGTCAAACATGATGCCAAAACCAGAAGTCATGTTATTTTTAAATTTGGGACCTGTTCCATTACAAGACGAAGTTAAAAATCATACCAGAGATTTGTTTAAGGAGGCCGACTGGGGTTTTCATTGTGCAATACTTCGCGTAGCATAGTAAAATAAGGCGTATTTACTCTTTTGAAGGAACTATTTTTACATAATTTATAAAAAATAACAAATTTAGGAAATCTCAGGTTAAAAAATCTAATTACATTTTTAAATAACTGATTTTTTAAACGATTTTTCAAATGATGGGTAGATAGACGTCGTAATGGTGTGTTTTTGACGTTATGAATAACCGAAGTTCTTTAAGCTGCATAAGTAGCATTTGTATAATTTGCTCCGAAGTGCGAAAAAATTGAATTTTCCGATATAATCCTATAGTAAAGGTATCTGTATTTTGAGATGGTCCCTAAAAAATAACCAGACGGTAGAATTTCACTAAACTTGGCATGTATACCAAAGTCAATGTAAGGTACATATGTTACAAAATTGAAGAGTTTCTCTATAGTAGTTTTCACACAATAAAACCCCAGTCGGCTCCCTTAAAAGTTTAACTTTCGAGATATTTGTATACCACCCAACCCATAAATAAATAAATAAAATTTAAAAAGGGGGAGATAGCGAAGTTATTTATCTTTTCGGTAAACATCAGGAAAGTCTTAAGAAAACACGTCTTGTAAATAGATTTTGCGCGTGGAAATTAACATTCCTTTTGAAAAGCATTTTGATATTGTTATTTTTATGGAACTAATGTCAGCTCAAAACGAAAAAATCCTGAAAAAACTATATTTCAAATTGTTTATTAAAAAAATTATGATGCTGTCTGTCCTCCTTAATATTTTTTTCTCATTATATGTATATAATCTCCTAATTACCGAAATGAGTTGCTTGTCAGCAGTTCTTCTGTAAATCTCTGATTTTTCTTTATATATAAAATATGAAAGAATAATGAGCACGTTATCTTAAAACATTTATCAGATCCCCTTTAAACTATAGGTAACCAAAATCCCTGACATGATTTTGAAAATAAAAATTATATTCTTAAAGTAGTAAACCAATAGAGTATATAAGTTCGAACTTCGGCCAGGTCGGCACCAGCAGACATGACAGTCACTGTTCCTTCAAATAGTTGAAGTCAGAGTTTCATGAAAATCGAGGATTCGTCTTCCAATGGGCGCTGGAACCCTTACAGGATTAATGTTGGTCCGTGGTAACAATATGAGTGAAATGTTTTCTCTGGGACTTTTAACGCCTTGAACAAAATACTTCTTTTAAAATGATATAAATTGATATACATGTATATACAATGTATGTATTTCCAATATCCTCGTAAGCTATTTTTTTAAATAATGGTTACCGTTTGTAAATGAATTATTGGATGATTAATTCATTGTAGTTATTATTTTCTTTGTAATACATGTATACATGATGTTAAAAAAGTCGACATTTACTTATAAAAGACAAACTTGATCGCTCATCCGGCTGCAGCATGGGATGCTCACTCCTTCATGGCACCTGATCCTACTCCTGTTTTCAGAGGTTCATGTTTGCTCTGTTCACAATTTGTATTGTTCAAATAGACTTTTGAGCATGATTACTGTTCACATTTCAAGATGGTAAAGTGCAGCATTCGAAACCTTACTACATATTTTCAACTTAAGCCTCAAATTTTCCCGTAAAGAATTGAATTCTACATCGTAGAAATTAAGTGTTCAAATGACAAGCTTTCATAAGAAGCAACATATCCTTTTAGCTCAAGGGAAGCCATAGTATGGCATTGATAAATCTGTTGCATATCTATTTGACAAGAAATATCATATAGAGAAATCATTTTCCTTTTAACCTTCAAAATCTTAGCGGAGTAAAAATGGCCAGTTCGATTTTATGCCGTACTCTTTTGGCCAACTTGTGCATTCTTTGGTCAAAATTGAAATTCCAACATCTCATTGCAAGCCATCATGTCAAGGTTTTGATCAATCATATACAAAAAGTGAAGGGTGTGTTCTGATGTCAAGGAAATGTGACGGAGAATCTGGAAAACGACAATAAACACGAACTTCCTTTAAGAGGCAAAGGTATAACAAATTGATAAGTTTTTGGAATTTACTTTCAAGAGACGAACCTGTAGGAAACCGTTTTGGTATGATTATATTAAAGTATTTTTCTTTAAATCGCAATTGGTCCTTTGAGGATGTGTTTTGACAGTGCAAATGTGCTGGTTTAGTGTTTTATTTTTTTTTCTGTGTGAACAAAAATTCTGTTCGCATATTGGCAATTTTTCAATTTGAATTCAAAAAATCTTCCTAAATTTCCAGAATTGGAATAAAAAAAGCAAAACCCATGAACTATCTTCTAGATCAGAGAGAGAGAGAATTCCACTGCAGTCATGTGCAGTATATTGATAAAAACAAAACTATAACACTTTTAAAATGTTCTCATTATTTTAGTATTTGTCTTATCATTGAGAGACTATGAATACAGTACTATGAATAGCAGACTTGGGCTTCTTAGTTACTGAAATCTTCATCTGTCATCATCGTATCATCACTGACTCTGATGTCTCTTCTGTCTTTTTCATCTCTTCCGTGAAGGTGATGCCATTTCCCTGTCAAATGAGGTGTTTTTAAAAGTTATGAACAAATAAAATATCGCCCAAAATATAGTACATTTTATTCTACGTTTCATGTACTTATTGTTGCATATATTTAAGAAATAAACAACATTATTCAGTAAACATGGCGTTGTTGAACATTCTGTCTTATAAGAGCAGATTTCTACATGGGAGAGTTCACCATAAACTGTACATACATGTATGCTGAGAGCAATTGCGTTTATGGAGGTATAACTGCAACTGCTAGGTACAGATTTATAGAGGTAACAGAGTATGTATATATATATATATATATATATATATATATATATATATATATATATATATATATATATATATATATATATATATATATATATATATGATAATTTTCACTAAACAATGTGCATGTACATGATCCCTAATAAAAGTAACTGTCTACAATAAATCTTTATGGTGATGAAATATCATGTCTCTGTTATGTACATGTACATAAAGAGTTATGCATAAGAAAATTGGTAATGAATGTGTATCCAGTATCAGTAAAATTGCATGGGATGTACTTGCAGCGTGTCTGACCGATCTTACTTGATACTAATGTTTTTTTTCCAGAATACTAGCAATGGGCATTTTGGTATAAACATTTGTAATATTTGATATTGAAAGATAATAAACAAAAGTCAATTAATTGTTACCCTTGCTGAATTAATTACCGATATCTAAGTGGTCTGTTAATAAGTCAAATACCTCGTACTATATACAATGTACTTACCTTTACAATAATATTTCACACTGAGATATTTATAGGTTCCAACACACGGGTCTCCAAATAAGGAATTGCTGGCTCGAAGTCTACAGCGCCTCTTCCCGTCACAGAATCTTTTTACTACACCTGTTGATTTCCTGGCTCTACAAACTGTGTTACTAGGGCTTTTGCTAGCAGATCTTCTTGCGCATGTACTCTTGTTTTGTCGACCATACGAAGCATAGTGCACTTTAATATGCCTGTGTCTTCCGCAATTCAAACTCATTGAGTGATGTTCGCATGCCGTTACTTTGTGTACATATTTTTCTATTATTTATATAAATGAAAATTGAATAGTATGTTTATTCCATAAACATTTAATGAAGATATATCACATCTTTACATCAAACAATGAAGTAGAAATAGTTTTTTGTTGTTGTTGTTGTTTTATTTAAAAAAACAACAACAAATATTTCCTCCTTTAAAAACAAACCCAGTCCTTTAAATCTTGATTTTGATGACTATCAATGTGTGTCATTAAACTGGGCATAAATATTACCGATTTACAGCAAATTTGTATGCTCTCCTTTAAATAACTGATTTCTAAGGTTGTAATTAACATTGCTTATATAGAATTTTAAACGTTTTAAGATATATCTTGCAAAAATATCAGAGAATATACATGTCTTGTAGAGTAGGCTTTCCCCTCTAAAATATTTTTCCCCCGGAAAACAAAACTAGCTCTTGAGTTTAATTTCCCCCACGAAAATAGGCTCTAGAGTAAAATTCTACTTGGGAAAAAATGACTCTAGAGTAGGATTTCCCCTACGGAAATCCCTCACCAGATTCAATTTTCCTACTCACTCTGTGTAACAGTTATACAGTGAGATTTCCCCCAGAGCCAATTTTCCCCCAATAAAAAAATCATGCCTATAATTATATATGAGGGGAGAGAAGTGACACATTGTTACAAGAGTCCCTTCTATAATTTTCCGACAGTTTTCGCAACTAGACAATCTTAAGAAAACTTCACAAAAATTATAAACAAAAAGTTTAGTTGTGCTTTAACATTTAAATTTTCAAAATGGAGACCAGTTCCATTTCAAATCTCAATTTTTTCAGTATTTAACCAACCAATTCTTTAGAAGCATGAAAGTCCTATTCGTTTCATCTGGTCAAACTTTGGGGGGGGGGGGTATGGTTCAATGTAATTGGTTGGACAAGTTTTAACTGTAGTCATGGAAACAAAAAGGAGGAATTTTATTTTAAATGGATTTTTTTCTCCATTTGTATTTCAAACTACATGTAAATAAATATGTTTAAATATCCAGAATAGATGGTTTTGGCATAGAACTAAAAATAGGTGAATTTCTAAACATTCGAAATTTTGTAAAACTTTATGACAGCATTCGCTCTCTTCTTTCAAATCCAACATTACACAGTTGGGGTCGATGGGACATACTTATGCTCAAAATCAATGTTTCTTGTATTCTTTTATTTTTGATTTTGTTTTTCCCCCTTTCAAGAACTACTCGATTCATATACTCACAAAATGAAATGTTGAACCTTTCAATAATATTAATTTTATAATTTTCTCACACACTCTTTGAAAAAAGTACCAATCTATAGATAAAATATTGGGCCTTTAGAGGGCAAAGAAATTAAATCTCTAAAGGCAGCCTGATATACATTTTAAAACTCGTGAACAAACAGGTATCGCTCTACCACAAGAGGTGTAGAGACATCAAGTTTTTTTTTAAGTGACTTATTTTACAATTTTCCATGAGGTAAAATTAGTTGAGACTCAATGATTTGAACTTATATTTTAAGATTTCAAAATAAATTTGAACAATTCTTGAGTTGAAAAAAATCATATTTCCTTAAAAAAAAATCAGCTGGCTTTCATAAAACTTACAAAAATATTGCCGATGTGATTTTAGCATTGAAATATAGAGAAAATCCTAAACTGAGAAGATTTGGCTCTAGTGAGAGATTTCCCCGGGGGGGGGGGGGGAGTGTCCTTCTCTAGAGAACAGATTCCGGGGGGAAACCCTACTCTTTAACATCGGTATTATGTGACAAGATGCAACGCGATTATGGACAGAGCATAAGTTTAAATGTACATGTGAAATGGTGTCTGGGAAACACATTAATGTTTTCTAATAGTATTTTATAAATAAAAGATCGTTAATGTGATTTGTAAAAAAAAAAAAAGAAGAATTTTAGTGTCTTCTGAAGGAAATATTTAAAGTTAAGAATAATACTTACTTCTTTTCCACCAGTGACCATCAGTATCTTGAAATATTAAAAGAATTATTAAAGAAGATGCAAATGTACATATTCTCCCCTACAAAAACAATACTGTAAATGTTATACATCTATAATGAACATTACTACAATTTTTGTCTTTGAGAAATGCTTCTTCTCTTTATTGTATATGAAAGACATTAAAAGTATAGTACCGTGTATAACCAGAATGACTGCAATGAGAACCAAGATCCGCCACATTTTCTCCCTAGATGTAGAATGAAACATGTCTCGGTCTTATCATATTTATATATCATTTTTCCATTGATCGATGTCTGGTCAATTTATTTATGAAGCATGTGATATCAAAATATAAATTTACGAGCTTTTATGATAATTATATAACCATTAATCGACCATCAGACTCATAGACCCATTAAGTAACTCAATATCGCATGGGCGCTAATATTCAAAGCACAGGGAAATATTAAATGAATTCTTTGTGACCCTAAATTCGTCAAAACTATTTAATTCAACAGTCTCTGTCTGAACGGCTTATCTCTTTTGATTTCCTCAAGATGAATTTCCTTTTTCTTTTTTTTTCTTAATAAAGAAACTTTTTAAGTATAGACTTTACAGATTGCATCGTTGTCCTACTGGCAGCTGAATACTTACTTGAAAAAAAGGTACAATATTTCATATTATCAGATAGTAGATTTTAGAAAGTTGCCTCTTTTAAAAAGATTAAAATATTGTTTTTATTTTTGGGTGCTTTATTTGATTGAAAGACATAACCGACCGATCCTTTAAATTTTAAGAATAAAAAAAAAAAAAAAAAAAAAAAATAGAACTTTGGCAATTTAAAGCCCGAAATGAAAATATGGATTTTAAAGAATGAAAATAAGGAATTTGTATTGAAACAAAAATACACGGCAAACGTCGATTTTTTTACTCTCAATATAGAAAACTGTATTTGTGTATTTATTTAAGAAATAAATGACAAGTTTAAAAACCACTGGAAAATAAAGTGGGTCGATCATGTGATCAAATCCTGCCGAAGGCCTTCTCAGAAGTTTTGAAGATTTGCTTTCTGCATGTTTACATAATAGAGAGATACCGTATATATATTTATTTTTTTTATTTTCTTGTCGAAAAGTTTTATAATTTGTGCATAAGTTGGAATGAGTACCAACTATTCGGCCATTCATTCAAAAGCAATTTAATACGCACAGTATATGGTAAATAAAATTACTAATTACTGAAAATATACATGTAGTAAATACACAGTGTATTAAAACTTGATCTTATATTAAACAATATAAATTGTTTCACTTCTAAAAAAAAAATGTAAAATATCGAGGATATTATCAAATAAAACAAGATGCTTCCCAAGTGTAACATACTTTATAGAAAGATGGATGATAAACATGTATTGAGCAAAAAAAAAAAAAAAATGTCAAATTATCAAATATTTATAATACAGTTAATTTTTAAAATCTTGTTTGTTTAATTGATGTTTCCGGGTACAGATCATGTGCACTACAGGTATGACCTTTTTACAACGCAAGTTAAAGATGCTCGTCCCTCAGCCAGGAACAATAACTCTTGAAATTCATCATCAATTTGAATGTCTAAAATGAGGCTGTAAACTGAAATCTTTTTTGTTCAATTTTCATTTCATACATCTGAATACATGTTTAACCCAAGGTATTTTGAAGTATCTGAAGCCCTCCTTTTTTTAAAATGTTGAATTGTGCACCCAATAAAAGGACAAAACAACTGAAGTTTTCAATGCAATCTAATTTCCTTTAAGAAGGATCGGTTGTCATGGTCATTTTTAACTTATTCTAAAAAGTCTCTTGGGGGAAAGCAGCTCTGTACTAAAAATAGGATATGCAATAAAAATTATAGCTGAAATATATGTTTTTTACTTTCCTTAATAATATTTGAATTATGCCTAAAAATCAATATTTCATATTTTTAGGCGAAACTGTTGTGTTTACATGTACCACATACATGTAGTCTCCTTAGACTCGCACTATTTATACCAAGTGTATTAGCATGAAACGAAGTTTGAAGTGGTCTGACATATCTTGAAGTGATATCACATGCTATTCAGGTAAGCATTGAAATTATAAGAACTAAAATAATACATAATTAAGCATCAAGATCAGGAATATTTTTTCAGATGCCTGATATACATAATGATTGGATTTTTTCCCATAAAGTATTTTTTGATCAATTTTCAACTATGAAATGCATAATTGTTGCTTTTATCCACATTTCCTTATCATATACGTATCTGAGCTTTTGTAATCTTCCCTATTTAAAATGTTCAAGTTTGATGATGAACTTTGAAGACAAATCATGGGTAGATGTGAATTTAGTAGCGTTTTATGAGAGTTTTCAATTACTTTACAGCTGAGGGATGAACTACCTGAATTTCAACAATAACCAATATTGCTGTACAACTTCTTTTGTTTTAAATTATCATTATTAGTATTATTACTATTGTCATTGTCTTATATGAGGCGCCGTTTTGGTATTTACTGCCAAAAAGTGATATCACCTATTCGAATAGGTGATATCACCTATTCAATTGGTGATATCACCTATTTGAGTAAGTGATATCACCTATTCAGCTTCTGAATAGGTGATATCACCTATTCGAATAGGTGATATCACCTATTCGAATAAGTGATATCACCTATTCGAATAGGTGATATCACCTATTCGATTTGAATTGGTGATATCACCTATTCGAATAGGTGATATCACTTATTCGAATAGGTGATATCACCTATTCGAATAGGTGATATCACCCATTCAAATAGGTGATATCACTTATTCCTTTTGAATAGGTGATATCACTTATTCGAATAGGTGATATCACCTATTCAAATCAAATAGGTGATATCACCTATTCGAATAGGTGATATCACTTATTCGAATAGGTGATATCACTTAATCATTTTGAATAGGTGATATCACTTATTCAAATAGGTGATATCACCTATTCAAATTATTTATGAAATAACATTTGCTCCCAAGACTATAGCTTTAATTCTCATTTACTTTCACTTTCGTTTTATAACTTACCATTCTTGCAGACAATGGATTACAGCTTCGCATTTAGTTTTAAGCACCCCAGTAGAATTTGTTGTTTGTTTTGCTCACAAATTATATTTATTACACTTATCTATCATGTATACTATAGGAAAATTCAAAGGGTCTGTAAGTCTCGTTGACTTTCACTTTCGTTTTATAACTCCCGGGTACCTGAGCGTTCTTGGAGACAATGATTACTTAAGTTGTAAGCATCGCAGTGGAATTATTAAACTTGTAGTTTGTTTTGATCCCCGATTGTTGCAAAGAAGAGGAGAAAGTGGATTGATAGATGCAGGTAAATAGCGTTTAATTGCTTTATTTTTTCATTACATAACGTAAACACCATAGGCACCCCCCAGCTTAATTGTTAAAAAATATATATCTACTATACTATAGAATATAGTATAGTAGATATATATTTTTTAACAATTAAGCAGGGGAGTGCCTATGGTAAACACAAGCTATTCCGAGGGGGCCAAGATTAGCCAACATACTTAAGCAGAAAGGGAAATTTAAATCGTTTTTATGCTAAAATCGTCTGTATTCAAAAGGTACGCTTATCTACAGATTGGTTTCATAAATTTAAAGCATTGACTTAGCTTACAGTGGTATAATTTGGAGTATTGGACAGGTATACATGAGTTTGGGATATTGAATGCGATGTCATTGAAAGCAAATAAAAAAATAGATGTACCCAAATGCATCGACCATGGGAATACAAAGTTGAATACCACGTCTATAACATATGATCTTCGTAGAAAACACATTCTTTTTTTTTTTAATTACTACAATAAATAAAAATGGTCAGCTCATTCTGTAGGCTATAAGCTGCCCTGTCTATTCGGAAATAAAAATGGCCACACACACTCAAAAAATAATCATTTTTTATTCTACAAAAGAAGGCATTTTTTCATATACACATACAAACTGTATTAACCGCCAAGTTTCATGACCCCCCCCCCCCCCCCCTTGCCAATACTCCTACAATTATGAGACAGACTTTTTTCTTGAAATAGGCATTTTTCTCCATTTGTCATTATATATTACACAGGGAAAAGTGGCTCGCATGTATTTCATATGAAATTCGCACGAATATCATGCGAATTCTTCGCATGAGAAGGAGACGAAAAGGACCACGCATGATATTCGCACGAAAATATCATGCAATTTTCACATGAAATTCGCACGAATATCATGCGAAAAGAAATTCATGCGAAATTCATGTGAAAAAAGAACCCAGGTTTCATATGAATATCATGCGAAGACAAGCATATTTTTCGTACCCCAGAAATTAATATCAAGCCATTATCTATGAGTGCCGCCCAAAGCTCAATCCATTAATTCTATTGTTCTTCCTTGGAAACAGAATTTTTGCTTCTTGCAAATGAATTTTCCTTGAACATTTAGTACCATGGATTTAATATCTTCTCTTTTTCTTACTTAGTCAGTTAATCCAGATACAAGTAATGCATGATTATACAAAAAGTAATTTTGAATTTGAAAGAATCAAAACTTGTTTTCTGGACTCCCTGACTAAATAAAGACATTTGTGACATTTATTTCTACATTGAAAACTAAAATCATTGATCTTTTTCTATCTTCTTTATTGAGGTTCTCATCACATAAGATTTCTTTATCTCGAGGATTCTTTTAAGAGGGTGTTGTCTTTATACCTGAAAATACAAAAGTAAACAATCTCAGGTTATTGAAATTCATAATGGACAATATTTTTTTAAATCAATTATGACTACCCTTGGCCTTTAAGTAGGATTAATACCTCTTGGTCATAATCACCTGTATGCCAAGTATGTTCTCCAGATACTACTCCAATAAAAAAATGTATTTTCTGAGATACTTCTATCAAATCTATGAACTTGATCTTGTCTTATGACCTCTGTTCTGGAAATGGCATATCTTATGATCATAATCAACCATTAGGGCAGTATGATCTTTGGCGGTTACTTTTTTTTTCAATATACAATTATATAATTATGTTATATGGCCAAGAATTTAAACTTGAATTCCTGTGACCTTTACATTGCTTAAATGACCAACATGCAGGGTTGTTTCACTGCCTCTAGTCATAATTAAGCAACCTTTGTATTTAGTATATATCCTCATAAATGTTATGATTATTTTATTTTTTAAAAACATATCTAGTTCAA